GAATCTGTACGTAGAAGAGACATCTGCACTCTCTCTGTCCAACAATATCGCGATAGCCACGGTCTGGAATCACACGAAGCATCCCCAGCGCGCAAGCGGATAACAGGCGGGGTGACTACACAGCACAGACGATTGGCAACCGCCCTTCAGAAGGAAGGACACTGCTCCGCTGTGCAACCTGAAGGCACCTGGACAACACTCAGCCAGACCCAAAACAGAGAATGGCGCGTGATACCGCTTCCTTGTGCAATCTTGTTTTGTTTTGTTTTTTTAAAGTTACACAGAGATCATGAGAGTGGTTATCAAGGGCATAGCTTACAAGGAAGTGCAGAGATGTGAGTCAGAGGATGACCAAGTCTAGCGATCTGATGTACAAAGTGAGCTCTGCAGCTTAACAGTTTTATTGTACTAAAGATTTTTGTTGAATAAATAGATTTTTGTTTTCTTTATCACAAAGAAGTAACTTTGTTAGACCAGAGCAACATGCCTCACTATGGTAACCATTTCATTGCTATAAAATATCATGTTGTAAACTTCAAATATGCACAGTTAAATTTATTTTTTAAAAGAAGCAAGATTGGGGCCAGAGAGATAGCTCCACAGTCTAAGCGCCTGCCTGGCGAGTACAGGGACCTGGGTTTGATCCCCAGAATCACATGCCGTGCCGGGTCTGCTCCAGGTGCGCAGAGCTGACCACCAAGTCCGGGCGTGGTGACACCTGTAATCCCAGCGCTGGGGAGGCTGAAAACAGGAGGATCACTATAGGTCCAAGCTGTGGAGTGAAACCCTGTACCAAATACACAAAATTTAAAAAAATAAAAATAAGAAGCCAGGTATGATGGCATACGCTTATAATCCCAGTGATAAAAATATGCAAGATGCAAAGAAAAGATTTCTAGAGAAGTCAGGGGAAGGAAGATCTATTTTTAAATTAGTTGCTAGTTCTAAGGAAGTAATAATTCATTGCACCAGATCTTATTTTATGTAACTTGCACTATTTGTGTCTTCTTTTCTCTTCTCCCCTCCTCTACTGGAGACTGAACCCAGGGTCTTGCACTGAGCTGCATCCCCAGCTCCCCTCTTTTTTTATTTGAGACAAGATCTTGCTAAGCTGCCCCAGCTGGGATCTAACTTTAGAACCTCTGTCTCAGCCTCTCCAAGTGCTGGGATCATAGACATGCGGCACCACGCTGAGTTTGTGGCTTTTTTTTCTGGTAAAAAGGCAGGTGATAAGTGACCCCCGTGGCTAGGACACACTAGCAGATGCCTTCAGGAATGTGTAGAGAGCCCACTATTGTATGTGCCCAGCACTACACATCAAAGGAAAACTCATGCTGCTTTTCTCCAGGATTGTGAGCATGGGATTACGGGCTGGTGGTGGCTGAGCTGTAGTCCACCCTCTCCCTTCAGTCCTGAACAGCCCAAGAAACACAAAGGCCAGAGGACACAAGTGAAGCTGAGCCTGGGTCTAGTGAATCTCGGTAGCATAGTCGTGGTGCAAGTGAGCAGCCGCAACTCCAACTGAGAGAAGGTGAGTACGGAAGGAGGGCTGCGCAGCATCCTTCTGAGTCTTGAGTCTCCTTCCGGCTCTCAGCGTGACTTCTGCAGACTTCAGTGCTGTCATGTGTGTGTGGAGATAATAATCCGCGCCCCGCCTCCCTCGTGATGTAACTGTGGTGAACACATGAGCAGACAGCCAAATACTGTGCCAGAACCTGGCGCTTCGCGAGTAGCTTCTAAAACCACGGTGTGATTGCTGGCATTCAGCTCACACGGCGCCACTTGCCCCAGGGAAGCTGCTTCTCCTCATCTGCAGCCCACATCCCTGCTCTGTACAGGGATGAGGAGCTCTGAGGGCTTCTCCAGCCCTGAGCAGCATAAGATCCATTTCCCATCAGCCTTTCCTGTGGCAGCCACCAAGC